TGTTGTTTTTTCAAATGTCTTTTTCTTTGTTCCCTTTTCTATTTGTCTGCCAAAAATTTAACCTTGCACAAAACTCTTGACTCAAACAACATGGGGACTTCACTCTTGGCACAGATGTAGATTTTGTTCAGGGGTATAATCTGACCCTGGTTCGAGGTCATTTGGACAAAGTCACTGGCTAAGTAAGCATGTCGTTTTCGACAGCTTTGTAAGAAAAACATTTGAAACTAAAAGTTGTCAAAAGGGTAAGTTATCCTCAGAAGACAAGTCCTCATATTACAATTTCATCCAGACAAGGTCAAGGTCACCGGAAGTTGAAATGTAAAATTATTGTCCTTTATATATATTGTTTAGTATAGAAACTTTAGAAGCTCAAACTTTACCAAGATTAAGTTTGAACTACATGTCTGGTCATTTAGACAGAGAAATTGCCAAATTTGTCCTCACTTTAACTGGATTACAGCCTATGGCATTTCTGTTTCACAAACACATGTCCTGTAAATTATGAACTTAAGATACTCCAAAAATATGTCATAGAAAGTAAAACAATCTGTACAGGCTTTGTTTATTGTCAAAACATACATTTATTTTGAGATTTTCCTACAAAGCCATCCTCATTCTACATGTGTATGTAAGAATAATTAAAAAAAACAATACTTGAAGAATAATTCGAAGTAGGACTTTTTTCTGGAAATACACACAGTATTTTGCAAATATGTGATCATATAATGATAATAAATCATAAATGCATCTATATCTAGAAAAGTTATAGTGGGCATTTCATTTTTTATGCTTTTGCATTGAATTTCGGTATGCAATGTAGATATGAAAATATTGATATTGGGGTAGGAGAAAATAATAAAGATGGTTTCATAGGAAAAAAACTTTCGTGATAAGTACGTGTTTTAAAAATGATTAATCTTGTACAAACTGTTTTACAAATTTCTATAACATATTTTTCTTTTTATGAGTATTCTATTCTTCGCTCGCATTGTCAGATGTGACATCTTTCACAATAAGCTTTTTAAAAGTATAATGAAAAAAATTTAACAGGCAATAATAATTTTAACAGACCATTGTATGCAAAAAAAAAAAAAAATAAAAAAATAAAAATAAAAATTAAAAAAAAAAATTAAAAAAAAAAAAAAAAAAAAAAAACCAACAAAAATCTTTAGATGTACAAAAGATAATATGTGAATCATATGACGCTTTCTGCAGGATAAAAGTACAAAGTGTGAATTTCATAAGATAATCAAAAAAATAGTTTTTTCAGGATTTACGTTAAATTCCAGATTTTCGCAATGATGTAAAACATTTAAAAGCGAGAAAAATTAAATCATCATCGTGAGTAATGATTCTTAATAATATTTTGCTGAATTATTGAATGTATTAATCAGAGAGTTCGTTTTTTTCCCTCAAATTTATACATAAATTTATTCACAAAAAGTGAATGGGATTGGGCAGCAGGCATAGCCTATTTTAGCCCTCTCCCCACAACAAGGTTCATGTGATAGTTCGTATATCTTTAACGGATTTCTTTAAACATTGCACATTAATTAAATTCAAATTTATATTTAATCCGTTTCGAGTACCAGAATTTAGAGAACACAAATATATATGGGATAAAAAAACTTTAAAGATAAATTTCGGTGAAATTGAAATTCTAAGGTCAGTGTAATTTAAATCTGATATCCCCTTTGCCAAGTTTTCAAGGTTAAAATTGAATGCAGTAATTTTGGACGATCGTCTTAATTAGAGTGTCACATGTTATTTCATCATTTTCTGGGCTCACTCATACTTAAAATCAAGGGCATAAAATTTAACCTGTACAAATCTCTAATGGTTATGCCATACTAGTAAAGCCAATGCTTTTAAGGCACTGAAAATTAAAAAAATATAAATAGATAGGCTTGAAAAATAACAGCTTGAAATATATGTTGAAAATCGACTGCTTGAAAATTATCAATTTGAATATATACACATGTACTTGCAAAATTGAAATATGATTGGAATATCTTGAAACTTACTACTAAAAAAATGTAAGTTTTATAATATTATCGATTAAAATAAGATTTCAGTAATTACGTATATATAATTTTAAAAACTACAAAACAATAACAATATGCACTCCGTACAGCAACAAAGGTTTCTTGGTGTAAATCTTTTTTCTATTACTGATCTTTGTAAGAACTAATGAGTCCCGTGAGGAAATTTTCCCTGAAGACTTAAGTTTTACAGATTATTCATTAAAAAGTCAAGAGGCTTATGTTTGATCCGAATTACCCAAACATGATTTAATGATTTATTTAGCTTAAACCGCATAGGGGCAATTCCAGAGTCAAGGTTCTCTTTGTACATGTAATACATATATCAAAGAATTCACGCTGTACTATTTTTTCTTCCGGTATTTATGATTTTTTTTTTTTTAAATATGATGCAAGACTTTTATTTATGATAAGATATTTTAATAAAATCTTTCTTTTATTGCACAACCTGAATGTAAGGTGTAATATATTTTAGGGTCGTTTTCTTTTAAAATAGGAATAAATATCATTTACTCTTAAACCCCCTTAAGAGGAGAACTGTTTACATGTATTTTAATTTTGAAAGTTTCCCAGGCCTTCTTAAATTGAAATATTTCAAAGTGTCCTATAACAGCTAAACAATTTAGCATATCAATAGGACTATTACTAGTGTACAGTAAAACTCGGTTAAAAAAATCGCTTAAGCTTATAAGGATATTTTGGTTATGGTTATAAGAAAATTTTCATGAATCAGAGGGCTTTGCATTATGTTTTTATACGGATATATATATATATATATATATATATATATATATATATATATATATATATATATATATATATATATATATATATATATATATATATATATATATATATATATATATACACACACACATCGATCGACGTCCCAATGACTTACTTATAACCAGTTAAGTTTTAAAATTCCAAAATCACTTACATTTAAACTATTCAACCAAGTAACCCAAAGATAGAGTGAACACTAATCTTATCAGACTTAGCAGCATAAAGTACATGATTTTCAAATTCATAAATTAAAATCGTACATATATAATGATATTAATTTTAGTATTGTTTAAAGTTAAGCTTTAAAAAAAGTTATTTTCAAGAGTATTTCCAATATATTTTGTTCGTAGTGAAATATGTTTGAAATCAAAGTAGTAATTAACTAAAATTTTATTTCACCCCAAAATGAGGAAGGGCGGTATGTACTAAACATACATTTAAATAGAACGTGATCAGTATTCAAAAAATAATTTCGAAGACAAGGACGAGTCTTGCGTGTCGTATGATTGAGCAGTTTTCAACAAAAACGCCTATCCTGTGAATAAATACAACGTTAGAAAAAGTACGAACACATGGAGAGAGAGACATCGATCTATTTGATTGGACAATGCTGGAATAAGGAAGAAGACGAAAGATATGAAATACGGGCACTGAAGTGTAACCATTCTATTCAATAATGAATGGAAGTTTTAGGTTTACATGTTTCAGAAACACTCTTTTAATAAGATCGTGTTTATGTTACAAAAATATGTCTGAATTCTTCAAATGAAATTGTTTATTTATGGTCCCAAAAAGTGGCACCTTCATTTTGCATCACGAGCTGCGGTGCATACATATTTATATGCATTTATTATGTAATTTTTTACCCCTTACATTGAACTTACATTAAGTGATAAATTTTAGATAAAGTCCGGTATCATTTGATATTGCTTTTCATAAAAAAATGTTCAGAATATTTTGACCATATCTTGAAATTCTATAACACTTGAAAGCTCTCGAGTAGAAGATTAAAAGCATTCTCTAAAAATTTCATATATCAAAATAAAAAAAAAAGTCATTTAATTGTGATAAATTTTATAGAATTAATTTATATATTCTTTCAAAAATCAGAGATTTTTTGAAATAATATGTCCCCCTCCTCATTATTTTCCCTTTCCTAACTTCATTCAACCCCACAGCCTTGTCGAAAGAGATTTCCAAGAACCATCTCATAGAACCCGAAGAACAAATTTAAAGTATTTCAGAATCGAGATAAAAATATTCTTCAACCCAGGAACAGAATTGGGAAAAATAATCAATTATTCCTATTGGAAAATTTTTGCCAACATTAAGAACATCTGAACCAGGAAGAAAATTAATCCTTCTATAGACTTTAAACAGGCTTAACTAAACAGTGCCGTTGTTTTCAATAGCTGTTACCAATCCTTTGATCAACGTTTAAATGGAATAATTACGCCGCACTTCACATTGAAAATAGATTTTTTTCTTCTCCCTCGATACTTGAGTGATTTTTAATAGAACTGCAGAACGCTTAAATATTTATATAAACTTTGCATGGTTGCTAAAAACCTTGAATTACCCGGTACGTATAGACGTTTATAGTAAGGCACATATATCGTAGTCAATTTATTCATATGTAAGTTTAAAATTATGTACGAATAATCAAATTCACATAGCAGGGTCTGTAGTCACAGAAATCTCGAGTTCAATAGGGTTGCAAAAATTAATCTTTGAGATCTCGAATTAAAACAAAAATTTACTGACGTACTCTTTTTGTTGTAAATTTCGGATTTCGATCGCCAGACACCAAAATTCAACGGAATAATGTACTAGTGTCTCCGGTATTGCTGTGTAATCTCTCGGAGAAACTTCACTCAACTCTTTTGAATTACCTATATCGTTTTGTTTTGAACATATTTTATTGTCTATATTCCTATTACCTATATTCACTACATAGTACACATGCATTAATATGGCAAGGAGTACAGATTTAAATATTATAGTGAATAAACTTTTCACTTAAATATTATCTTCTTTTCTTTTTTTTCCCCTCCAAATATTTTCTAAGTTCGTTTCATTCATAAATTAATTCATTCATATTTCATCAGAATATTCAAGATATTTTTCTGTCACTTTATTTTAAACTCTGATTTAATTTCAATTTTATTTTCATTATCATATTATGCAATGGATCTAGAGAAACAAAATTTTCTATATTTCTTTGTCGATTTCATAATTCAAACATTTTATCTTACACTGCATTGATACAATGAACAAATTACTTAAACCAAAGAAAATTTTCTATGGTTATGCGATGAGATCTATTCCCTTTCAAGCATACTCCTTTCTTATTAAAAGTTAATGCGTCTTCAATGTTCAAATATAATATATTTTCTCTAAAAATATTTCATAATCTCTCTAACATGTTTAATAAGCTTGTTTAGACGGTATACGCCTCACGGCTTGGTGCCTTCTAGTTTGAAACCCGCTATGTCTGAGATTCTGCGTACACTTTTCATTTTTAAAATCAGTCATTTTTTCTGCGATCACTTGAACTGCAGGTCTTTTATCCGCTGATGGATCCATGCACCATAAAATAAGATTTTTAGTTGATTCAGTCATATTGACCTCTTGGCATTTGTTTAAGACTTCGTTCATTCCAATTGGGTCGACTTTGCTGGTAAACAAATCAAGGGTCATCATTCTCTGATTGTCGAAACATCGAGTATTGAGCAACATTTCGTAAATCAGAAGACCAAGTGCATACACGTCTGCACAGGCAACGTATATTTCCCCTCTCAGAACATCCGGTGACAAGTATGCAAAATCACCTACACCGATAGACTCCTTGTCCATGGGGAAATTAGCACAACGTGGAAGACATCCGCCTGTTAATTTCACATTCCCATCAAAGTCTACCTGCAAGAACAATAAGAAAAATTTCTGTAACAATATTGATTCCAAAATGCGAACAACATTTTACTTTTGTCCTCTATTTGTTTCATTATTATTCTTTATTAACGTTCACTAATTCTTATGGTAAATAAAAACATACTGTAATTGTGTTTTGACACAGTTCCATGTGGACAAGCTTTTTACTGTGTAGATATTCCAGGCCTTGAACAACCTCCTCCAGAATTCTTGGAATCTCTACTCGAAGATTGCAAAAGGACGATTCTTTATATATCTTTAGACTTCGTAGGTGATCCATGTAAACAAATGCAGGGATTGGGGAGTCGGAATGGTGAATGCCCAAAAACTTTGCTACACATGGATGATCCAGGAAGCTGAAGGAAGAACAAACAAAAATATTTTATTTAAAGAGACTATTCAATTCTTTCCTCTTTAAAACATAATTACACTTGACAAATTGCAAAGGAATGATTAGACGGCTTGGGGAAAAGTTTCAAAGATGCTTGTACATGTTCTCCCTATCACATATTTGTGCTTAAGAAACTGCAAAGGAACAAAGCGATTACCAATATTTAAGTGTTTACCGTAATTTAGTGACTTCTGCAAAGGTTTCAGAGATTCCAGCCAGTGGAAGATAGACTTTAATGATAATTGCTTCATCGCATTTCTCATCCTCGTCGTACAAACTTGCGTTTTGTAGAGCAGTCCAAACCCCCCTCTGGATACGTCTGTCTCCCCGGGAATTGTTTGAACAACTAAGAATGATGGTTGAACATCGAAAATCACCAGAATCTCCATAATCGTTATACTCGTCTCGAAGACGAATCTCCCTTCCCATAAAATCGTCCACGTAAATTTGGCCAGTTCCATACTCCAAGAGTTGATGTTTCAAAGTTTCTAATCCTTCCATCATCTTTTCGTATGTTTCTCTAGATTCATTGACATTGACGCGGCAATGTGATATATGGTCTAGTAATTCTTCATTTGCTTGAATCATAGCAGGGATATTCTCTTCTATAACTTCGAGTAATTCTCTTGGACGATCAAATATTTCGGAAACAAAGTTGAGGAGTTGATTTTCTTCGCCCTTTTCGGGATGCAAAAATCTTTGAAGAAACTTTTCCGAGACAAGCTTAGCGGCATTGAGAGGATCTTTCCTAAACGCTTCTGTTTTCCTGTTCCATTTCGCAAATTCATAAGATTCGTATAAACTAGAATGTCGAAGTGTTTTTGCCAAAGTATTGAATGGATGCAAAAATTTGCCAATCAATTTGACCGGTAATGGCTGTGCATGTAACGCTCCAAAATCATAGTCCCCACATCGTCCAAGCTTTATTGAGAGTAGGGATGATTTTCTCCGAGTTTTTAAATCATAATATTCTTCCGATGAGACACTATCGGAATCGGAGTGTAATTCACCTTCGATAGAAACTAAATCACTCTGTAAAAGATGAAGTTCCGATTTGATTTGATTAAACATTTCCTGCTCGACTTTTTGACATTTTTTATTATCCTCTTCCCACTTGGTGAATTCATCAGTTATCCTATTCAGAAGCATATCGTGAATTTTTTGTTTGACCTCGGGCCAAGGGTCATCATCTCGAATATTTATTAAATCATGGTTCAACCAATGAACAAGTCGAAAGTGTGTGGCTGGTTGGTTCAGGACAATTTCAAATGCTTGACAAATTTCTTTAACACTTGTGTCTATATGTGCCTTCTGATCTTTTAGGACTCCCTCTGACTTTAGTCGTAAACTTTGAAGCTTTTCGTGAACATGCTTCATTTTCCCCTTTAAATGCTGCTCATTATCATCCACAGATTTCACAATAGTTTTAAGATGATGAACACTTCGTACTAAGACTGTTTCCATCCACCTAGAATAAGAGAAATTATTTGATGACGCATACATTTTTTGTTTAGTGTGTCTTTCTCATGAGATTCAGACATTAGCTGTAATACGAATTTGTATACAAAAATATTTTTGGGGACATTTTTGAAGATCTTTTCAACCAACATATGAAGACTCCGGTACAATTTAACAAGAGACTTACTTGTATGTGGCTTTGATTCTTTTATCAGTTGCCTTGGCAACTAACTCTTTCAAACCCTCTAGAAAAAGTCTGTAATCCTTTGTGATGTAGTCAGTGTCGACAGACAGTTCCTGTTTGGCACGTTTTGTGGAGAACCGGATGACGCTGGACCTAACCAGTCCGGGCCAGTAGTTCTCCAGCTTCCGGACCGCGTACTCATACACTTGGTCTTGCTCGTCTTTCTTAACATTGTCCCATAAATTACAGACAAATATTGCACATTTTGGATCAAACAACGTTCCAGCATCGTCTGATTTCTTCTTTTGCTTGTCTAAGATAACTTTGAGTAAATTTCCTAGCTGTTAAAATTGAAAGAAAGACAGTTGTGAGAACAGTGAATGACGAATACGATGTCTACATACATTTGGTACATGAAATGGTATTACCTCATCTTGAATGGCATTGCCAAGTAAATATTAACTTGTATGTCTTTCACATAGTAGATTCAAAATAACACAATGATAATTATATATAACATTATGCATTATTACTAAAAGTAATATAAATTATGTATTGTTACTGAAATTATTAGACATACTCGGTCTTCGTCGACACCTCCGGCATTGTCAGACTTGATGACGTAAATGAACCCCATGATGTGGTGTTGTGAGACAAACTGTGTGATGACGGAATCCATCGCAGAATTTTCTCCGATTCCCGGAGAGTCCACCAAAACAATCCCGCTCTGTGTTAAAAATTACAATTATAATGCATCAGTTTGTTTAGATAGTGACTGAGACTGTGAGATTTATCCTTGAAAATGAAATAAAGAAATGTTTGAATATTAAAAAAAGTTAAGATGTGATGAAAGTACGGGTCATGCATCAAAGATGTGATGTCATGCATCATCTAGGTAATACGTATTTTTATTTTCTTATATTTTATTGTATGGTCTTCAGGAAGTTTTTTGCAATATCATCACTGCGATTTAAAAAAAACGCTTCCTTCCTTCTTACCTTCAATATCGCCATTGGTAAAGATAGCTGAACCTCGCTTATTCTGGACATTTTTTCCCTGTTGTCTAAGTCCGTTTCATATATTTTATTCCACAACTTTTCCTTCATTTCCCCTTTATGGATATCCTCTATTTCTTCTGCCTCCCCGTTCATATGAACGATACGTGCCGATCGGTTCCTACCGTAGGAAATTTTTGTGATGACAGAGGTACAAGGGTTATGGTGGACAGGTAATATGTCCTCCCCGAAAAGGAGATTCAGGAAACTTGACTTACCGGCGGAAGTTTCACCTGAAGTATAGGGAATAAAAATTCAAAATATTTCTATTATTAGATTTCCCTAAAGTACTAAAACTGTATCTACAGATTACAGATGAAAACGTTAATTCACTGAGTAAAGCATAAAACGAAATATTCTGCAGTTTATATATAAATAAATTATATCATATTCTCGGAACAATTTCCCTGCGACAAATTGTTCCCTTGTAAGACATTTATTTGATTGTGTCTTCAGGTCAAATTAACCGTTTTATAAAATGAGAATATCTTCAACCATGTCAGATACATACATGTATGTTATGGAATCCTTATCTACACAATTTTGTTTTAAGAAATTCTTCTTGCAAAGAGAAAAGGATCAAAATTACTGTGAAAGAGAACACAGGTACTTGACGTTTTAAATATTTTCTTAATAATAATAATAATAATAATAATTCTAGATACTATAAAATTGAATAGCCGAACACAAACATGTGTAAATACAGTGTACATGTACATGCTAACTGAAAGTTGGTTAGTTCAATATTTGTCATTCTTCGAGTAAATATGTGTTTTAAAAGAAGTTGAACATTTGATCCCAGAGTTCATCTGCTAATATTTTATTAATGCAGCCTCAATAAGAAAACATCTTCATGAGATTAAAGTTGCTAAAAATTCCTAATTGACATGAATATGAGGAAAATGATTTTTGCACATAAAAAGACCTCCACTACTATGTAAACTTAAGGAAAATAATCATTCTGACTATGTCAATGTGTAGTACCTATTAATAGAAAAAAAAGAAACCTGCAACAAAATTGGACCGCTTACTTGTAGTCACTTTCTACAATTATGTATTAAACCAATGAGATTTCTCACTGAGTGTGTTTGGGGATATAAATAAAAAACATTGTACTTTTGTGTACAATGACAATGAACTTTATTCTCATAACTGAAAAACTGTGTAGAGACTACACAATACGTACAAGGAGGACATACAATATATTAGGGATGTCAATTTTGTCCATAATTCATATTCGAATATTCAATGTAAGTATTCGAATATATTCAAATATTCGATAAAATAAATAAAATCTGGTATATTTGAAATATGCATCATCCTAATCTCGTGAAAGGTTTAGCGTACATGTAGGTAAATTGGAAGTGAAATTGTAAGAAGACTTTTGCAGTTGTACAGTAAGGAATTCCATTTGATATTTGTCAATGTCTGAGATAAATCAATGATTTAAATGTAGAAAAGTATAATTTTAACAACTGATACATGTGTATTTATAGAAGTTCCAACTGAGGAATCAGTCGTCTTACACCAAAAGCAAGATAGTCGTATACTGTTCAGATGTCAATACATGTAATCAATTATAATTATCAACCTAATAAGGGATATGATTATTATCTTTGATACAATGATTTTAAAATATAGAAGGATATTTCCATGGATAATTTTCCTAGGTAATTAAGTAATTTCCCGATAATGAATAATATGTTGACGGTGCGACCATTCGGGCGAGCGCAATTGTTCACTTAATTTTAAGATCCGCCTCTTCAAACCGCACGAGACATTTGGAACGTCTAGACTGTGACCTCACATGACGTCGTATATTAGCTGCATTTCCATGAACGAAGTTTGAAAAGTGCAAAAATTTTAACAAAGAACATTTAATCTTCTATCTGTATGCAATATCCATTAAATTAAGGTGAGTTTATTTTTAGTGAATTTTTAGTTGTTGTTACCGCGCGAACGAAGTTAGCAGCGAGAACAACAAGTGATGTATTGTGGGGGAAAATCTATAAGCCCGTTATCTGAAACAACCGGAAGCCCGTGAAGTCAAGTACACAAAAAATGCATACGTCATTTTTACTTTCGCTTTTAACTTGCAGCCGAGCTATCGACAATCATTCATTTGAAAGTGATCAGGCTATGTGTAAATATCTTCAATGGCAGAATCGGTAACAGGGTTTAGATTAGAAAGTAGAGACGAAAAGTGTATACGAGGTTGGGTTTTGTCAGAGGAAATCCTTCAGCAATTCATTGAACAGTTGAAGTACTTTCAATCAGCACGGGATGTCAATATGTGTCGTGGTAAGTATAAGATTTGTTTTAAAAGATTAGTATTTTTCCGGACGGAAATGTTAATTTTATGAAATATGCCCATATCTTCGAAACATGTAATCTATTTAATAGACTAACTTATAGTAAGTTACATGTTATCAATAAATGACATTTTCATATTAGATCTATTTAAACTTTCTAAGCCCGTTGCAAATTTACGAATTATTTTCTTTTAAGAAAATTAATTACGGAGAGGAAATATAGACTTTAAAAAGTTCTATGGAAAGTTTTTAACTTTAAAAACTAATTTATAATTCAGTTTTTAAAAAGAGACCTTTATTTAAAAAATTAAACAGACATAAAAAATGCACATATTATTTTTTCAGAAATTCATATCCAAATAAGGGGGATGTATCATATTCTATCAGAAAGATAGATTCCTTATTTCCAAATCAGGGCCCGTTCAGGCATCACAAACAACAAGCATTCATGATTATACATGTACAATTACATGTACAAACAGCACAGACTAATTTTATGTATACTAAATAATATAAACTCAGAGAAAAAAAGGGGAAGGGTTGAGAGTCACCCAAAAAATTCTTGAAATCACCTACTGATTTCAAAGGAAATAGTTCATATTGCCCTATGTATGCATGACATTGTTCAAACCAGAAATATGACAATCTTGTTATATCAAGATCAAGTACTGAGTAAGAGGCCCGTGATTTCAATGACACCGTATATAGAACCGAGTCTGAGGCCCGTAACTTCACCAACTCCCTATACATGTATAGAACTGAGTCTGAGGCCCGTGACTTCACCGACACCCTATATAGAACTGAGTCTGAGGCCCGTGACGTACTTCACCGACACCTTATAGAGAACTGTGTCTAAGGCCCGTGACTTCACCGACACCCTATATAGAACTGAGTCTGAGGCCCGTGACATCACCGACACCCTATATAGAACTGAGTATGAGGCCCGTGACTACACCAACACCCTATATAGAAGTATAATAGAACTGAGTCTGAGGCCCGTGACTTCACTGACACCCTATATAGAACTGAGTCTGAGGCCCGTGACTTCACCGACACCCTATATAGAACTGAGTCTGAGGTCCGTGACATCACCGACACCCTATATAAAACTGAGTATGAGGCCCGTGACTTCACCGACACCCTATATAGAAGTATAATAGAACTGAGTCTGAGCCCGTGACTTCAACGAAACCCTATATAGAACTGAGTCTGAGGCCCGTGACTTCACCGACACCCTATATAGAAATGAGTATGACACCCATGACTTCATCGACACCCCATATAGTATTGAGTATGAGGCCCATGACTTCACCCTATATAGAACTGAGTCTGAGGCCCGTGACTTCAACGACATCCTATATAAAACAGAGTCTGAGGCCCTTGACTTCACCGACATCCTATATAGAACTGGGTCTGAGACCCGTGACTTCACCGAAACCCTATATAGAACTGAGTCTGAGACCCGTGACTTCACTTACACCCTATATAGAACTGAGTATGAGGCCCGTGACTTCACCGACACCCTATATAGAACTGAGTCTGAGGCCCGTGACTTCACCGACACCCTATATAGAAGTATTATAGAAGAACTGAGTCTGAGGCCCGTGACTTCAACGACACCCTATATAGAACTGAGTCTGAGACCCATGACTTCACCGAAACCCTATATAGAACTGAGTCTGAGACCCGTGACTTCACTGACACCCTTTATAGTAATGAGTATGAGGCCCATGACTTCATCGACAACCCATATAGTATTGAGTATGAGGCCCATGACTTCACCGACACCCTATATAGAACTGAGTCTGAGACCCATGACTTCACCAAAACCCTATATAGAACTGAGTCTGAGACCCATGACTTCACCGACACCTTATATAGAACTGAGTCTGAGGCCCATGACTTCACTGACACCCTATATAGTAATGAGTATGAGGCCCATGACTTCATCGACAACCCATATAGTATTGAGTATGAGGCCCATGACTTCACCGACACCCTATATAGAACTGAGTCTGAGACCCATGACTTCACCGACACCTTATATAGAACTGAGTCTGAGGCTCATGACTTCACCGACACCCTATATAGAACTGAGTCTGAGGCCTGTGACTTCAGCAACACCCTATATAGTACTGAGTCTGAGCCTCTTGGCTTAACTGACACCCTATAGAACCACTATGGACAGTCAAAGTTGTGCATAATTAGGAATATTTAGGAAAAATCTTCTCAAGAACAGCAAAAGCCATGATGAGTCATATTTTTATGGAAGCATCCTCAGATAGTGTAAATTCAAGTTTGTTGAAATCAGGACTCCCGGGGGTAGGGTGGGGCCACTATGGACTATCAAAGTTTTACATAGAAATATATAGGAAACATCTTTAAAAATCTTCTTCTCAAGAACAGCAAAGCCCTGATTGATCATATTTATGTGGAAGCATCCTCAGGTAGTGTAGATTCTATTTTGTTCAAATCATGACCACCGTGGGTAGGGTGGGGCCACAATGGAGGATCAAAGTCTTAAATAGAAATATATAGAGGAAAATATCTACTTCTGAAGAACTGTAAAGTCATGATTAGTCATTTTGATATGGAAGCATCATCAGGTAGTGTAGATTCAAGTTTGTTAAAATGCTGACCCCCGGGGATAGAGTTGGGCCATAATGGGGGATCGTAAATTTTACATAGGAACATATAGGAAAATATCTTCTCAAGAACTGAAAATCATGTTTAGTGATTTTGATATGAAAGCATCCTTAGGTAGTGTAAATTCAACTTTGTTCAAATGATAACCCCTGGGGGTAGGGTGGGGCCCAATGGGGGGTCAAAAGTTTTACATAAGAACATATAGAAAAAATATTTCTTCTCAAGAACAGAAAAGCTATGTTTAGTGATATTGATATGGAAGCATCCTCAGGTAGTGTAGATTTAAGTTTGTTCAAATGTTGACCCCTGGGATAGGGAGGAGCCACAATGGGGGATCAAATTTTTACAAAGGAATATATGGGAAAAATATTTTAAAATCTTTTCAAGTACAACAAGCCATTTGTTATATTGATATGACATCAGGTAGTTTAAAATTCAAGCCCCCCGTAATCTTTTCAATACTGAACTGATTTGTGCTTTTGCCTAGCCAGTGTGCTCAGGTGAGCAATGTGGCCCATGGGCCTCTTGTTTTTTTGGTCATGGGGGCCTTGATTTTGCATTAGAAAGAAAGAGGAATCCTTCATTTAGGAGTATTTAACGAGTTTTCTAATACAGTATTTCAACACCTTTTCAGGTCAATATATACCAGATACCACACTTGTACAGTTCTGGAGAATAACATACTAATGAGAAGCTGTTGAGAGAATATCCAGTGTAAGTGTTTCTTTTTCTTTATTTGTCTATCACCATCCCCCTGGGTAAAGAATATGGTAGTTATTGGGGTCTGTTTGTCCTATCATGAGCCAGAATTATGTAATCTCCAGCAGCTTGATTTTGTAATATTAGTTTAAAACTCAGCATTGGTATTTCTTATCACTAGTAGATGACTTAAAGTGCTTTTTGTGCAAAAATGAAAGTTCATTCTCAAAGAATTAATATTGAAAGTAAGTTCATTAATGATTGTCATATTGGAAATATATGTTGGGTCCACAATTGGTGATCAAAGCCACATGGGAATAATGAACAAAATCTGCTGATGAAGAATAGCAATGCCATACTGACTCAGGTGAGAGTTTGGCCCATGGGCCTCTAAGTTATAATGTTAACAATGTAATTATTCAGGTGTCAATTTGAAAAAAAAAATGCAGACAAATTTATTTATACCAGATATTTAATTTAATTTAATATTTACATGTATTACACATTTTTATAAACATTTTCAGTTTAGGCATGCACATCTTAAATCAATGTCTTAATGAAGAAGGCCATATATTCCTTGGTCTGTGTTTGGGAACTGGAATGCCAATTAATAGAAGAGGCAGAGAAAAGATCAGTCAACAAACAGAAATGTCTATGAAGAAGGCCAAAAGAAAACAAAACAATTGAAATGCATACATGTATTGCATGCTGGTATTACTGTATAAGTACTAATTATCTGCAATCTTAATGTCACATTTAATGCATTGCTGATGCATGTAGTTACAATAAACATAACTGGTGTTATATTTGAAATTTAAGAATTTGTTTAATTGTTACCATATGTGCAAGTTAAAGTGAATTCTATTTAACTATAAATTTTAAAGAATTTAAATGACAATTAATCGGTAATCATTTCTTATATATTTTTGGGTCACCTGAGTTACTCAGGTGACCTATTGCTATCTCTTTTCGTCCGTCGCTGTGCGGCGTGTCATCCATCGGTCGTAAACTTTTGAACATTTTCAGCTTCTTCTCTGGAACCAGTGAACCAATTTCAACCAATTTTGGCATATAGCATCTATGGATGAAGGGGAACAAAAATTGTGAAATTTGTGGCTCCTGCCCCCCTGGGGCCTGAGGGGTGGAGCCAAAACCATCAAAATTAATGCAATCTTTAAAAATCTCCTTTACTCCTGGGTATTATTTAAACAAATTAAATACATAGTTATGATAAGCAAGGTTGCCTCTTCCAAAATCGTGAAATTCATGGCCCCTGGATCAGGGGTTCTGGTGTTAGGGTGGGGCTCTATTGATTATAAAGTGAAAATGTTCTAATTTTTTAAAGATCTTGTTCTCTACACCTGGGTATTATTTAAACAAACTAAGTACATTGTTATGATAAGCAAGGATGTCTCTTCCAAAATTGTGAAATTCATGGCCCCAGGGACAGGGGTTCTGGTGCTAGGGTGGGGCTATATAGATCCTATAGTGAAGGTGCATTATTTCTTTGAAAATCTTCTTTTCTGCCCCTGTGTATTATTTAAACAAACTAAGTAAATTGTTATGATACGCAAGGATGCCTCTTCCAAAATTGTGAATTTCATGACCCCAGGTTCAAGGGTTCTGGTGAAGGGGGGGGGGGGGGGTTCAATTGATTATAAAGTGAAAAAGCAAGAGTGCTTCTTCCAGATTAATGAATTTCATGACCCCAGTGGGTCAGATGTGCTGGTGTAAGTGTGGGGCTGTTGATAATATAGTGAAAATGCATTAATTCTATTAAATAATCCTGTTTTGCTACTTAATGATAAACAGATAAGCAAAGTGATTAGGTATACATATGGTCCCAGGGTCAGAGGCTCTGGTGTTTGGTGTTTCTCGGGGGGGGGGGGGGGGGGGCTCTATTGATAATTTAGTGAATCTGTAGTAAAATTGCATTATTTCTTTAAAAATCTTCTCCGCACCTAGGCATATCTGAGGCAAACAGAGTAAAGTTTTTATAAAGAAGGGTATTTTTACCAGATTTTTGAACATCTGGACCATTTGGTTAAATGTTCTGGTCCTGGCCAGGGCTCTATTAATTTGTATTCTACTGAGAGGAGTTATTCCCTTTTGCCATTTACTTTTGATAATTAATCACTGTAAATAATGTACTTGAAAGGTAAATAGTATAAGAGAATTATGCAAGAATTTTTATTGTCTCAAAAAGTACTTTCATAGTTTTAATGATCAGGTTGTAAGTAGTAGATAAATAAAAATGAGTCAAGAATAACTTGTCTTATTAAATGTTCATCAAAGACCAAGAGAGGCCAATGTAAGAGATATCAACAAGGGATTAAAATAGTTCAGAAGCATTGATAATTTGTTAATATACTGTATATGGTGATAGTGATAAATGGGGAACAGATTAGGACCTAATTTATGAACTGTTAATGAAAAGTAAGACTAATTATTTTGTTTATCCTGATCACCCTATTTTTCTTGCTTTTGGGCAACAAAGCTTTATCTTTCAGTTCATTTTATACTCGATGCATCCTTTAAATTGTTGTATTACACTCAGGTGACCGTTAAGGCCCTTGGGCCTCTTGTTTTTTTAATAATGGCTAATTTTATTATACATAGATGAACATGATGAAATTGCATTGTTGTACATTTAAAACAAAGTAAATGACTACAAACTGACAAAAAAGTGTGAATTTGTGTGTACATTTGTTCACTATTGTAATGAATATTTCTGCTCTGATAATGTGGATTGTTATGTTTATTTCATGGAATACAGTGTAAATGAAGTCACAGGCATATTTCTTAGTACTAGTACTATATATGTAGGGATGTCAATGAAGTCACGGGCCTCAAACTTAGTGGAAAATAGGGTGTCGGTGAAGTCACAGGCCTCAGACTCAGTTCTACATAGGGTGTTGGTGAAATCATGGGCCTCATACTCAGTACTCTGTCGGTGAAGTCACGGGCCACAGACTCAGTTCTATATAGGGTGTCGGTGAAGTCACGGGCCTCAGACTCAATACTGTATAGGGTGTTGGTGAAGTCACGGGCATCATACTCAGTTCTATATAGGGTGTCGGTGAAGTCACGGGCCTCATACTCAGCTCTATATAGGGTGTTGGTGAAGTCACGGGCCTCATACTCAGCTCTATTTAGGGTGTTGGTGAAGTCACGGGCCTCATACTTAGTTCTTTATAGGGTGTCGATGAAGTCACGGGCCTCAGACTCAATAATATATAGGGTGTTGGTGAAGTCACGGGCCTCATACTCAGCTCTATATAGGGTGTCGGTGAAGTCACGGGCCTCATACTCAGCTCTATATAGGGTGTTGGTGAAGCCATGGGCCTCATACTCAGCTCTATTTAGGGTGTCGGTGAAGTCACGGGCCTCAGACTCAATACTATATAGGGTGTTGGTGAATTCACGGGCATCATACTCAGTTCTATATAGGGTGTCGGTGAAGTCACGGGCCTCTGACTCAATACTATATAGGGTGTTGGTGAAGTCACGGGCCTCAGACTCAATACTATATAGGGTGTTGGTGAAGTCACGGGCATCATACTCAGCTCTATATAGGGTGTCAGTGAAGCCATGGGCCTCATACTCAGCTCTATTTAGGGTGTTGGTGAAGTCACGGGCCTCATACTTAGTTCTTTATAGGGTGTCGATGAAGTCACGGGCCTCAGACTCAATACTATATAGGGTGATGGTGAAGTCAGGGGAATAAGACTCAATACTATATAGGGTGTTGGTGAAGTCACGGGCCTCATACTCAGCTCTATATAGGGTGTTGGTGAAGTCACGGGCCTCATACTCAGCTCTATATAGGGTGTCGGTGAAGCCATGGGCCTCATACTCAGCTCTATTTAGGGTGTTGGTGAAGTCACGGGCCTCATACTTAGTTCTTTATAGGGTGTCGATGAAGTAACGGGCCTCAGATTCAATACTATATATAGGGTGTTGGTGAAGTCACGGGAATAAGACTCGATACTATATAGGGTGTTGGTGAAGTCACGGGCCTCATACTCAGCTCTATATAGGGTGTTGGTGAAGTCACGGGCCTCATACTCAGCTCTATTTAGGGTGTTGGTGAAGTCACGGGCCTCATACTTAGTTCTTTATAGGGTGTCGATGAAGTCACGGGCCTCAGACTCAATAATATATATAGGGTGTTGGTGAAGTCACGGGCATCATACTCAGCTCTATATAGGGTGTCGGTGAAGTCACGGGCCTCATACTCAGCTCTATATAGGGTGTTGGTGAAGTCACGGGCCTCATACGTAGTTCTTTATAGGGTGTTGGTGAAGTCACGGGCCTCAGACTCAATACTAAAAAGGGTGTCGGTGAAGTCACGGGCCTCATACTCAGCTCTACATAGGTTGTCGGTGAAGTCACGAGCCTCATACTCAGCTCTATATAGGGTGTTGGTGAAGTCACGGGCATCATACTCAGCTCTATATAGGGTGTCAGTGAAGCCATGGGCCTCATACTCAGCTCTATTTAGGGTGTTGGTGAAGTCACGGGCCTCATACTTAGTTCTTTATAGGGTGTCGATGAAGTAACGGGCCTCAGATTCAATACTATATATAGGGTGTTGGTGAAGTCACGGGCATCATACTCAGCTCTATATAGGGTGTCGGTGAAGTCACGGGCCTCATACTCAGCTCTATATAGGGTGTTGGTGAAGTCACGGGCCTCATACGTAGTTCTTTATAGGGTGTTGGTGAAGTCACGGGCCTCAGACTCAATACTAAAAAGGGTGTCGGTGAAGTCACGGGCCTCATACTCAGCTCTACATAGGTTGTCGGTGAAGTCACGAGCCTCATACTCAGCTCTATATAGGGTGTTGGTGAAGTCACGGGCATCATACTCAGCTCTATATAGGGTGTCAGTGAAGCCATGGGCCTCATACTCAGCTCTATTTAGGGTGTTGGTGAAGTCACGGGCCTCATACTTAGTTCTTTATAGGGTGTCGATGAAGTCATGGGCCTCAGACTCAATACTATATAGGGTGATGGTGAAGTCAGGGGAATAAGACTCGATACTATATAGGGTGTTGGTGAAGTCACGGGCCTCATACTCAGCTCTATATAGGGTGTTGGTGAAGTCACGGGCCTCATACTCAGCTCTATATAGGGTGTCGGTGAAGCCATGGGCCTCATACTCAGCTCTATTTAGGGTGTTGGTGAAGTCACGGGCCTCATACTTAGTTCTTTATAGGGTGTCGATGAAGTAACGGGCCTCAGATTCAATACTATATATAGGGTGTTGGTGAAGTCACGGGCATCATACTCAGCTCTATATAGGGTGTCGGTGAAGTCACGGGCCTCATACTCAGCTCTATATAGGGTGTTGGTGAAGTCACGGGCCTCATACGTAGTTCTTTATAGGGTGTTGGTGAAGTCACGGGCCTCAGACTCAATACTAAAAAGGGTGTCGGTGAAGTCACGGGCCTCATACTCAGCTCTACATAGGTTGTCGGTGAAGTCACGAGCCTCATACTCAGCTCTATATAGGGTGTTGGTGAAGCCATGGGCCTCATACTCAGCTCTATTTAGGGTGTCAGTGAAGTCACGGGCCTCAGACTCAATACTATATAGGGTGTTGGTGAAGTCACGGGCATCATACTCAATTCTATATAGGGTGTCGGTGAAGTCACGGGCCTCATACGTAGTTCTTTATAGGGTGTTGGTGAAGTCACGGGCCTCAGACTCAATACTAAAAAGGGTGTCGGTGAAGTCACGGGCCTCATACTCAGCTCTACATAGGTTGTCGGTGAAGTCACGAGCCTCATACTCAGCTCTATATAGGGTGTTGGTGAAGTCACGGGCATCATACTCAGCTCTATATAGGGTGTCAGTGAAGCCATGGGCCTCATACTCAGCTCTATTTAGGGTGTTGGTGAAGTCACGGGCCTCATACTTAGTTCTTTATAGGGTGTCGATGAAGTAACGGGCCTCAGATTCAATACTATATATAGGGTGTTGGTGAAGTCACGGGCATCATACTCAGCTCTATATAGGGTGTCGGTGAAGTCACGGGCCTCATACTCAGCTCTATATAGGGTGTTGGTGAAGTCACGGGCCTCATACGTAGTTCTTTATAGGGTGTTGGTGAAGTCACGGGCCTCAGACTCAATACTAAAAAGGGTGTCGGTGAAGTCACGGGCCTCATACTCAGCTCTACATAGGTTGTCGGTGAAGTCACGAGCCTCATACTCAGCTCTATATAGGGTGTTGGTGAAGTCACGGGCATCATACTCAGCTCTATATAGGGTGTCAGTGAAGCCATGGGCCTCATACTCAGCTCTATTTAGGGTGTTGGTGAAGTCACGGGCCTCATACTTAGTTCTTTATAGGGTGTCGATGAAGTCACGGGCCTCAGACTCAATACTATATAGGGTGATGGTGAAGTCAGGGGAATAAGACTCGATACTATATAGGGTGTTGGTGAAGTCACGGGCCTCATACTCAGCTCTATATAGGGTGTTGGTGAAGTCACGGGCCTCATACTCAGCTCTATATAGGGTGTCGGTGAAGCCATGGGCCTCATACTCAGCTCTATTTAGGGTGTTGGTGAAGTCACGGGCCTCATACTTAGTTCTTTATAGGGTGTCGATGAAGTAACGGGCCTCAGATTCAATACTATATATAGGGTGTTGGTGAAGTCACGGGCATCATACTCAGCTCTATATAGGGTGTCGGTGAAGTCACGGGCCTCATACTCAGCTCTATATAGGGTGTTGGTGAAGTCACGGGCCTCATACGTAGTTCTTTATAGGGTGTTGGTGAAGTCACGGGCCTCAGACTCAATACTAAAAAGGGTGTCGGTGAAGTCACGGGCCTCATACTCAGCTCTACATAGGTTGTCGGTGAAGTCACGAGCCTCATACTCAGCTCTATATAGGGTGTTGGTGAAGCCATGGGCCTCATACTCAGCTCTATTTAGGGTGTCAGTGAAGTCACGGGCCTCAGACTCAATACTATATAGGGTGTTGGTGAAGTCACGGGCATCATACTCAGTTCTATATAGGGTGTCGGTGAAGTCACGGGCCTCTGACTCAATACTATATAGGGTGTCGGTGAAGTCACGGGCCTCTGATTCAATACTATATAGGGTGTTGGTGAAGTCACGGGCCTCATACTTAGTTCTTTATAGGGTGTCGATGAATTCACGGGCTGTATATGCATAATTACGTTAGCTCTAGACCTTAGAAAATTGGGTTTACTATAAATATATACGTTCTTTATTTTTGCGAATGTCAAAATTCATTAAATTCATAAAAAAGACAGTAAGTTAGGCTAATTTTTTGACTGTTTATCAATACGTTAAGAAGGTACACATAAACGGCTTACGTATCAAAATGTGTGTTTACAATCGAAATCACGGGCTTCCCAACATTGAGTTCACGGGCTTATAGACTCTCCCGTATTGTGGGTCCAGAATTACTGCGGAAAGAAATTCTATTGAATGAATGTGCTGTAGTCCGAATTTTCTCTTCGCCCAGGCGTTGTCGTTAGAGCTCGCAGTGACGAGCGGCACTTCGCGCCGCTAGCTGCGTTCGCTATAAAATTCAGGATTATGTACAACCCTAGATAATCAAGTAATTTACACATTTATTCTGAAATTGCGCCCTTAACAATATTAATTACATGCTAATTCTATCAGACATTCATTCAATGATCAATTAGATTTACCTGGAAGTACACGTGTTACTTCTTTTAGACATTCTAAGAAGGTTTTCATTTTGTTGTCGTCGATTCTAGATCCGATCGTATTTAACTAATAAAAGCTATGAAAGTGCGTTTTGTATTATACATATAGCATTATTGTATAATTCCTTAACACATTACTCAAAACATAATAATTTAGTAGATCAATAAGATAAGAAAGTAGTGAAAGAAATCAGGCTATCGAAATTGACCGCTAGTAAATTAAACAGGAATGATTTCAGCAATCAAAATTTATTAATCATAGTACCTCTTTTAATGAGTTCTGAAACGAAAGGTACACGAATTTTGTAGCAGACAGAATTTTGAAAAAAATATACTTTTAATCACAATTTTTTTTATATTAAATTGAAAATAAATGAATCTAGACACTAATCTCGCTGCCTTGGCTAGCCTTACCTGACACAACAACCATGCATTCTCCTGTTTTGACTTGCGAGATCCTTTGGTTGAAGTCAATTTCGAAACTTTTCGTCGCCCCCTCTGTTATCAGGAGTTCCTCTAACGCTGCGCTCCCCCGCTTGTGTTGTTGGCTAGGAACCTCTTGCACTTCAAATTTCTTTAATGTCCTCTGAATTGTTTTTAACAGTTCAAGTATTTTCTGTCGTTTTCGCTCATCTTCCCGAGAAAACTCCATGAGTTTATCAATGGTCTACAAAAAGCGAAAATCAAAACAGTTATATACGTACATGATAATTACACTTGTTATTTTATTATGTATATTATGTATTATTATATTATAAAAAATGTTTTAGCTATAAATGAGTAACTACATTGTTATGAATTATTTAGTATCTGATGAGTACATTACATTATTTGCTACACCAATTGTTTGTATTCTAGTTGTGTTCTACTGTATTATCATGCTTATTATTATGTTCTGTATAGACCTTTACCAATTACTGTAATTGTGTTTGTGCCAATAAAATATTTGATTTTTTGATAAATTATATTTTCCAGGTATAAGATTGTTAAATATGAGTGCCAATACATCAAACTTGGTGTACAGATTTCGGAGTTTATCTTGGAGTTCACATATATTAAAAATTTGTTCCACCGATATAGGCCACACGTTCTTGTGGACAGGGTCTCCCCGCCCCGCGAATATACACCCTGGGTCCAAGGATATCTTTATTCGTCTTTTTTCATAAATTAATCTTCTAGTACACATTTACAATACACAAATCAAAAAAAAAAAAAAAAAAAAAAAAAAAAAAATAACGTAGAATTATCGTTTTATTAAAAAATCATACCCGCGGTATTTTATAATTCCGCGTTATGATTTACTCTAAAGCAAAATGTTTTTTGGACATAGAGAAAATTACGTAGTATAAAGGTGTAAGTATTGAGTTTATTTATATCATTTTTAGCATAGGGTACCCGGCATTTACCCCAAATGAAAAATGTTCAAAGACAAAGAATTATTGATGAACAGAAATCACCAAAAGAAATCATGCAAGTAAATTGTTTAATCAATTAATTTATCTTGGCCTCTAAATTTAAAAAAAAGTATAATTGAATTGATTACAAGTTAAGTAGACGCCGTAGAATTCTAAGGGCAGATTACTCTCAGTGCATAATAATACCACAGAATGAGAACTCTTCAGGGTGAAGTGTATAGAGGGTTCTTAAATCAAATCATTAAAATGCGATGATAAATGAATAACAAGAGGCTTAAGGGCCTTAACGGTCACCTGAGTATAATGTAATGATCCACAGATTTAAACAAAATAAGCTGATAAATAAAGCTTTGTTGCCCAAAAGCAAGAGAAATAGGATGATCAGGGATCGGCAACATATTAATTTAGTTCTCAATAAGAAATCTTCAATTTGATCATTTATTTGCCTATACTTTCCCCATTTGTCACTATCCTCATGCGGACTAAACAAAACAATAGTTCTAGGGCACTATTAGTTAACACAATCTCCCTCGCATTGGCCTCTCTTGATCTTTAAAGATTATTTATTGTACAAAGATATGGTAATTTGTCCCATTTTCATCTATCTATTATTTAAAAGTTTACCTGACCATTAAAAACTATGAAGGTACTTTTGTATTAAATATAAACTTTCTTGTATAATTCTGTTATTCAATTGACCTTTTAAGTTACATTATTTAGAGTGATTAACTATTATAGGTGAATAGCAAAGGGGAATAACTTCTTTCAGTAGAAATAAATAAATTGACCAAAGGGTACAGAATTTCAAAATTTGGTAAAAACATCCCTGCTTATTACAACTTTATATACTCTATTTGCCTCCTACATGCCCAAGAGCAGAGAAGATTTTAAAGGAAGTAATCAATTTTCACTATAGATTCAATATAGCCCCACCCTAATACCAATGCCCCTGACCGGGGGGCAAGATATTCACAATTTTGGAAGAGGCACTCTCGCTCATCATAACCATGTACTTAGTATGTTTCCTTAAAAAAATGGGCAAAAAATCTTATTCTCTTCCCCTGTATAAAAAGCAGATAAACTAGGTGCATGGTTATGATGATCAAGAGTACCTCTTCCAAATTTGTGAAATGTGTGGCCTCAGGGTGAATGGTTCTGCGGTCAAATTATGCATTTTCACTATACGATCAATAGAGCCCCACCCTAACATCAGAACCCCTGACCCAAGGGCCATGAAATTCATAATTTTAGAAGAGGCACCCTTCTTTATTATAACTATCTACTTCATACATCGGCTTAATACCTAGGAGCAGAGGAGAAGATTTTCAAAGAATTAATGCATTTTCACTATATTATCAATAGAGCCCCGCCCTAACACCAGAACCCCTGACCCAGGGGCCATGAAATTCACAATTTTAAAAGAGGCTCCCCTCATCATCATAACTATGTACTTAGTTCATCGGCTTAATACCCAGGAGCAGAGGAGAAGATTTTTAAAGAATTAATGCATTTTCACTATATAATCATTAGAGCCCCACCCTAGTGCCAGAACCCCTCACCCTGGGGACATGAATTTCACAATTTTGGTAGAGGAGTCAATGCTTATTACAATCATGCCAACAGTTTTACTGCTTGATGTCCAGGAGTAAAGAAGGAGATTTTTAAAGGTTGCTTTAATTTTAGTGGATTTGGCCCTACCCCTCAGGCCCGGGGGGGGGGGGGGCAGGGACCATGAAATTCACAAATTTTGTCCCCCTTCACCCATAGATGCTATATGCCAAAATTGATGGAAATTGGTTGAGTGTTTTCAGAGAAGAAGCTGAAAATGTTCAAATGTTAACGCACGTCGCACGACGCACGATGCACGCCGACGGACGAAAACGGATAGCAATAGGTCACCTGAGTAAACTCAGGTGACCTAAAAACGATACGAAATTATAATGATATTCAAAAATCTCCGCACGTTACAACAAAGTTGAATAGACGTGGATATTTTTAAATTTTAAAAAGCCAAAAATATTTAATTTCAACAAGGATGTGATTAATTCCTCTTATTGAGTCGCGTTTAAAAGATTACGTAAAATTCTGTTAAAAGTTGTTAAATCCTCAGACGTCTGCCATTAAATTAAAACTGGTTTTTGTGGGCGATGATTTTTTTTTTTTTTTACAAAATGAGTAAATTCAGTAAATCCACACTATTATTTAACCAGGTACTTTGACCCTTAAATTCGTCCTTAAGTTACGTTGGGAGGTTTAAATCTTTACAAGGATAATGCGGCAGACTTTTGTGTAAAATAATGGACTTCTTCACAATTATACCCGATGATTGTTAAAATGTCATCATGTTCCAACAGTATTATGTTCAAAGTCGGTTAAAATCACCAACGATCCGCGAAAGAAATTGTCTTGGTTAACATAGAGGTGTCTTGAAAACTATGCATATAATGTATTACCTTTGAAACATAACAATAAATAGAAACTTTGAATACAAAAGAAACCAAGATTATTAAATAAAAAGGGGATTTTAGCGTAAATTATGATCCACAGTTTAAAGTACTTTTTTAAAAACAAATTGCAGGCTAAATTCAATGGATTTTCATTCTAGCATGGAAGTAAATCTTAATTGAAATTATTTCCAATTTGTTCATAAGCAACTGTTTCTGTAAGTCTGTATTATAGACAAGTCCAGTGCTCTCAGATTAATTGACCTTATTTATTTTTTTTAAATTGATAACTGAGAGTGGGTTAATATTAAAATTTCATGACTATGTAGGTGGAACAAATTCCAATAGGTATAGAAGAAGGGATGTAAACAAGCCATCGATTTGTGAATGCTCTTAAGATGTATTAGAATTTTTAAAGTTCAACCTCATATTCCTTAACTCTTTAGGTAGTTAAGTAGATACACAAACATTTCCTCATTAAATATTTATTGTTTACTTTGAACACACATTGGGCGATATTACATTACTACATCTACAAATTGCTATATTGTGATTTTAAATATAATCTTTCTGGCAATATAGAGCTTTGGGATCATTTATTTAACATAACATACTGAAGAAATGAATGGCTTTGTTGAAGAAACTTAAACTGAAGGTTTAACAAACTGCAGCTTAAATTTTTACGTCATTGTTGTATGTAAATGCATCATCATAATGTTCAAAATATTTGCAGGTTTCATTTTTGATAGATATTTTAGATAAATACTACTGCCTTACCCTTAATTTTATATTTCACCTTTATTTCTTATGATGCAGAGAAAATTTTACCAATACAGAGGCAGCTTAATAGGAATTTTCTCTCCTCTTTGACATGCACTGAGCATTCCTTCATTTAGAAGCTATGTGAGTTTGGTCTATTTCAGGGCTGAGACATGGCTGTAGCCCCCCCCCCCCCCCATTAATTTTTCCGATATATTGAATACTATTGAAAACATAGCTACCATTGGCATATGCTTGTGCCCCCTAAATTATAAGGTTTGATGCCCCCCTCCTTTTTTGCTTGTCAAGGAATTTTTGGTAGTTGATAGTGTCCCCCCACAACTAAAAATGTATGGTCGTGCCCCCCCCCCCTCTCAAACTGAAATTGCTTCCTACGGGCCTGTGAGGTCAGAACATGCAAGCACCAATAACTGTACAGATAACATAATGACATTGCTACATGTACGTATTAACAATCTGAATCTCTGACACAGTTCCCCTCACCTGTGTTTTGAAGTTGCCTTTTTCCTTTTCTATATGCATGATCAGCCTCTCTTTGATGCTATCTAGGTCAGACAGTCCCCGCAGATTGACGTCCAGGGCGTCCCCGATGTCGAAAGCATCGTCAATATCATCACAGTCTTCTACATCCTCCACTGTATAATGCACCGTGTCCTCGCGAATTGTAATAGCGTAATCTCTTCTAGACATTGTGGTTTTTATTCTTTTCGCTGATAAATTTTTTTCCCCACGATTTTCTTTTACATAATTCCGGATATTAAATGAATTCAAACAACATGTGGAGGTCTACGACATAATAGCCCCGTACACGAATCGTTCTGAATATCACATCCCATTCGTCCAGACTTTTGAATTCCTTCCTACCTGGACGAAAGAAAGTAAAATATATCTGTTTAAAAGGAAGTAAAAGGATACATGCAGCATTAATGAAAAAATTAATAGCTTAGAGCTTATATAATACCCCCAGTCGGTCTTCTTTTAGAAAACTACCGATATCGTTCCGCTCCAATAATTACCGACACTAGAAGGGCCATCTCTATCTAATTTGATAAAAATAACTACAGATACCTGGAATGTTTTTGTTTTGGGTACCAGTCATGGTTACGTGCCAGTTAAGGATCGTTAGTTTCCACTTTTCGGAGAATTAAGAATAGTTAAAAATAGATAACACAGAAAGGTGTGGAATTTCCAGAGAGTGGGTTTGCTCGCTTTTTAGTCTGAAGAAGGTTTGAATTTTTTAAAGTTTTAATAAAACTCTCTTTGCAATACTGAAACTGTAGTGAAAAATTTCTCTGTTAATAATCAAATTAAAGCTCTCTAAATTCCTGCATCAGGGAATATACCAGTATAATAAAAATTATGTTCTCATATTTGAGAATGTACACTACTTTTATGTATGAATATAATTAATACATGAATAAAAGATCAAAGATATCAGTATTATTACCTATTCGGACTGGCATGTTTAGTATATGATTCTAAATCTGCAGCTTAAAGAAAGAAGCAGTTGCACAGAAAAACACCAAGTATGTAAGGAATAAATCGATATTTTAAAAAAGAAGGGAGTGAGGGGGAATTCGAGCCAAATGTTTCTTAACTAAGGAAAGTAAATTTAAAAAGAAAGAAAGAAAACAAAACATAGTTCAATACTTACGACTGATTCTTCCAAACTTCATTTATATACGAAAGAATTACATACATGCAGTACACAACTAAATCGCACAAAGAACTGTACAAGACCACAAGAGAAGCTTCTTTTGTGAAGATTTTAAATGCATTCAATGTGTCTTTCAGACGATTTCGCCAGTTATCTTATTGATCTATATCCGTTTTGTGACTCAGTCAAGAATCACCACAAGGGCTTTAATTAATCACTATAAGGCATCATGAGTGAAAGATTTTGTAGTGATCTAATATATAATATACCTTTTTTTTAAGATAAAATCAAATAAAATGAAACCAGTAGGGATCGATGTTTGAAACTGAAAGTAGAATACTATTGTAATGCGATCCTCAACCTCAAGTTAATGGATTAAGAATTGAGGATAAGTGGAACGCCATACCAACATACATACAAATATTTGTACCCGTCATTAAATATTTATACCTATCTTCAAATCATGATTTTTATTCTATTATACTGATCTCTAATTCATTTGAAGAAAGGTACAAGTAATTTGAAGATGGGTATCTTAGAATTGAAAATATAGGCACAAACACCAAACAGTAAAGATATTTATAAGTGAGTAAAAGATTGATGACCTATCTCTATTTTATGGAATTCCATATACGACAGCCAATTGCTCACTGCCAACTGCTCACTGCTTACTGACAACTGTTCACTGCTTACTGCCAACTGCTACTGCTTATCTATATAAAGATGATATTGCATATATATTTTGATATTTTAATATAATATGAATGAATCATATAAACATATTTAAATGACCTTTTTTTTTTATATCTATGCAGAAATTTACGTGAATTTTCATAAAACATGACTTATATGGAAAAGCCAAAAAGAGTTAAGCTTAAAATTTTGGTAAAACTTGTGTTTATCACTATAAGTGGATATTTATTTTCACCCCTACAACAATTTCTTTTTTCTTTTTACAGATATTATGAATTGTGTTTTCAAAAATTCATACCAAGGTTTTTTTTTATCCGTTTCACTGGGGGGGGGGGGGGGTTTACAGACCCCCCCCCCCCAATAAAAATAGTTACGTGTATTTTATTACAAATTTCAAATAAGTTAACAAGAAAAAAATACTTTTTCAATCTGATATTATTAATTTTACATAAGTTAAATATTAAGGGTCATTTATCCATTTCCACGAAAACTTGAAAATCTGGTGATGTTTTGAAGCCTGATTTCAATTGAGAAAACTTTCTAATCCCCCCCCCCCCCCTCTATGAAAGGAGTTGTAAATAAGAGCAATTAACTTTTTGACACTGGTTATAAAATTATTAATCCGCTGCTAATGAACTTTTCTTTGCATTCAAACCAAATAGCCAAATTCTCATTAATATTGAATCAAATGGATGTAATATGTAAACGGGAATTAGCGTTAGCGTACGGAAGTCGGTAGGTGCCAGGTAGAAAAATATTTTATCTGGCGGCCGCCAAATATTTATCTGGCTCCCGCCAAATAATTATCTGGCGGCCGCCAAAAAATCATTTTGCGGCCTCCAGATAAGTTTCTGGCGGCCGTCAAATAATCATCTGGCGGACGCCAAATAAAATATTTTTTCTACCTGGCACCAACCGGCTTCCGTACATATTAGTGTGTGTAGTTCTTGCAATATTAAATAATGCTGATTTAGGAATTATGACGTGAAGGGAGGAGTAAATCAAAAGAATTAGTATAATTTCTTCTTTAAAATAAAACATTTAATTTCCACATTTCCTTGGTGGCAAAAATTTAATACCTGTTTTGATGTTTTAGACCGGGGGTGGGAGGGGGGGGGGGGCACATACGACATTAAAAGAACACACCTTTAGTAGGGTTTTAATAATTTGGAGGTAACATTTGTTGGTGTACGTATTTATACTAGAATTAAATATTACTTAAAAGTATAATAAAATAATTTATGCTAGAAATATTACTGAAAATTATAATGGTATAATTAAAAATTAAAATATCTAGTAATATCTTTTGGTGCTTCTATGAAAGGCACCTGTATTTGTAATTTTTTGTCTTATTTAAATCTTTTTAATGGACAATTTTAGATTTAGAAAAAATACAAAAAAAAAACATTGGTGGTGGTGGTTGTGGGTGTCCCCAATAAATTGCCAACATATAATATACAGTTACTGTAGTGCTCCCTTAATAATGGCGCCTGTGACCTTTTTATTACTTGTCAAGGGATTTCTTTGGGTTGTGACCCCCCCCCCCCCCCCGGAAATTGATTCTTTGCCTTAGTCAACTGTTTTTACATGGAGTAAAATTTATGCCTTGTCATCCCAAGAAATTCTGCGCATTTTCTCCGGTTTAGATTTAGACAGAACGTAATCAAAGCACAATTAACCCTAATCTTTGATATTCCCATAAGCGCGGTGCGAGGCTCTTTATATCTGCAGCTTTGAGGAAGGGATCCTAAATTTAACATGTTTAAACTTAACAACAGGAACTGAAAAATCGAAGGCTTTCAATCACTTTTCTCCTTTTTTTTGGGGTGGGGGGGGGTGGGGTGGGGTGGGGGTTCTATATATGTTGTGCTCTGAAATAAAATCGATAAAAAAAGGTCACTGAATATTTAGAGACATTTCTACTTTCTAGGATGTTTCCATATAATTTGAATTGAAAAAAGAAGAAGAAACTGCAAAAAAATTTATTTAAAAAAATATCTTTAAATAAATATCGGGTACGGTGGACATTTTTGAAGTGCCGAGTAGAAAATAGCTTATATAATTTGACTGGTGTAAAATAAAAATGCCGATTTTCTGATAAACTTATTATGGTTGTTTCATATTTTAAGTGAATTAAGATAATCAATTTAGAGCCTGTGAAACAGATAAGACCTACAAAGGCGATACTGTTTATAAATATGGAAAAAAAACTTAGAGAAGGCCTAGGTCGGGTTCAGGACTGCTTGAAATAATAGGCATAAAATTCAAATCGTATTTCTTTGGGTTGAATTGAATACGACTAGCATAAATTAAATTCCAAATATGCATTTTAAAAAGAAAAACCTGACAATGAAAACTTGAAATGATATTTAATAGCATTTAGAAGTTTTGACTTCAACAAGGGAAGCTAAAGAACTTTAGATCCACCTCACAAAGCTGTTGCCATCAGTTGTCTCGAATCACTCTCAGGGGTATTTAAGTGATCAGCGTTAATTTCACTTTTATTGCGTTCAAGCCAAAGCTTTACCGGACGAGTTTTTTTGCCATGATTATGATTTTTCATCAGTATTTCTGGTTGAAATGCTTATACCAACACTCAGGATCCTAGTACTCCCTTTTTTCTGTCATTACATAAGCCTTCAATCAATTTACCGTCAGAAATGGCTATTGAATTATTTTCCTGCAAGGAAATGTGGAAATTAAATGCTTCGCATTTAAGTCTTTCCTCGCCTTCACCTTTTATAAATTCCTGAACCCGCCAATTTTTGTTATTATTGTAATATTTTTGCTACCATAGGATTTATTCAAGCATGCGTATTAAAGATATTAAAGATAACAAAACAGGCAATATAATCATCAACAGTGGCAGTTGGCATTCAGCAGTGAGCAGTTGGCAGTAAGCAGCTGGCAGTTGGCAGTAAGGGTGAGCAGTTGGCAGTAAGCAGTTGGCTGTCGTATATGAAATTCCATAAGCATTCCTGAACCAGGAAGAAAATTAATCCGTTTATAGACGTATATAATAGGCTTAACTAAACAGTACCGTTGTTTTCAATAGCTGTTACCAATTCTTTTATCAATGGTTAAATGGATTGATTACGCCGCACTTGACAGTAAAAATAGATTTTTTTCTTCTCCTTCGATACTTGAGTGATTTTAATGGAACTGCATAGCGCTTAAATATTTATATAAACTCTGGTTGCTAAAAAACCTTGAATTGCCCGGCAGAAGTTTATTAGTACTAGTAAGGCACATATATCGCAGTCAATTTATTCATATGCAAGTTTAACTTATGTATGTATAATCAAATTCACATAGCAGGGTCTGTAGTCACAAAAATCTCGAACTCAACAGGATTGCAAAAAATCTGAAAGGTCTCTGGTACTGCCGTGTTATCTGTCAGAGAATATTTACTTAACTCCAAAGAATCACCATTATTATTCACTGCATAGCACACAGGTGTGCGTTAATTTGGCAAGAGGTAC